TGTGTGTGAGGGATGCAAATGCAGAAGCCCTCTGCTTATGCTCGAAAATGTTAATTATCAATATGGCTTCTCTCCACTGGTTGTAAGTCCAGTTGTGGGTAGAGGGGAGACACAGACAGACCATGGTGTGCCAATTTCTCTGCCTGTTCTACAATTTCTCCTTCTTCCTGCTTGGAACTTCAAACATAGTTAACCAAGATTTCCTGCCTGCCTCTATCCACAGCTCTGTGGACTCACAACCTCTCCCCATGGTTCGCTGGTGGTGGGGACAGCACCTCTTTGCTTATTCCCTCTGCAGCTCCTTTGCTGCACATCCACCACCTCCCCCTCCTCTTTGCTCCCCCAGTGTAGACCTGAGCAGTCTCTGGTGGAGTCCTGGGCCACTCTATGAATTTCTGGCTATTCTGCCACTGGCTTGTATCCTCTCTGCTCACTCACTATCCATTTTTTCCTATGCAACTTGGAATGTCCTGCTGCTATACCACCATCTTCCCAACACCCTGCTTCTTTTTCTAACCCTGTCACTCTGCTTTTCAAATAAATACATGTATGTTTAAAAAGTACAAGATACTATTCAAAATAGCAAAAAATACATAGAATGAAAATTAAGAAAAATGTGACTAATTTTATAATGAACTCTAACAAATAACAGAAAAAAAAACTTTTAAAATCAGTAAAGATTTGAATGGACATTTTGCAAAAAAATAAGTTTTCGATAACTATGTAAAATATCCTCAAAATCATTATTTGAAAATAGTGAATAAAACCTCCCTTCAAAATACACACTTCACATGCTGTACCATGGTTCTCTCTCTCCCTCTCTCTCTCTCTTGCTCCCTTTGCCTCTCCTCTCTGTGTGTAACTCTGACTTTCAAATAAATAAATAAATCTTTAAAAAATATGTCAATATATGTATTTATTCATTTGGGAGACAGAGAAATCCCAAACACTGGCTCACCACCTGATTACCTGCCACAGCCAGGAACTTGACCAGGCTAATTCCAGGAGCTTGGAACTAAATCCACATCTCCCATGTAGTTGGCAGGGACGTAAGTACCTTTACCATCACCTGTTCTCTCCCAGGATGCACATTAACAGGAACTTGAACTCAGTAGCAGAACTTGGACTCAACCCCAGGCACTCTGACATTGGATGCAAGTGTCCCAAGTGGCATCGTAATTGCTTCATCAAATCCCTGCCATGTTAAAAGATGTATTTATTTACTTTATTTAATAGAGGGAGAGGAAAGAGTGGTGGAAAAGGCAAAAACATGCCATGGATGAATTTTAGAATGATTATGTACGAAAAGAGAGCAGCAGTCTGCAAGGAGTATTGTGGGGAGCAACTCGGACTAGACTAAGTTACTGGAATTAAGACTTATTCTATGCATCTGCTCTCCCACAATATGGCGCTGAGAAGGGAGAAACAGCTTCTACACAGCTGCCTCCAGTTCAACCAATAAACTGTAGGACTTACTCCTGATTGAAGGAGAGCAGTGTACTCGGCTTGTGGGTAGCAGAGTTGGGATTGGTGGAAGAGGACTATAAAGGAGGAGAGAGACAACATGCACCAGGAACATCTAAGAGGAACATCTATCTGAAGGAACACCTGTGCAGCCCCCGAGAGAGCCGGCCGACTGTAGGCCACTCCCCCGCGGAAGTGGGGAAAGTGGCTAGGGGGAACCGCCCTTCCACGGAGGTGGAAAGGTTGGTAGTTAACCTGGGAAGAACCAGCAGCAAACCCGGGGAGGGCCGAGCAGACAAAAGAACAACGCAGGGTCCTGTGTCATTCCTCCATGAAGAGGAGGAGTGACATAATGGTGCCGTGACTCGGATATGAAGCCTAGGCAGGGTTTAGTGTCATTCCTCCATGAAGAGGAATAAAAATTGAAGTAAATGGTGGAGTCCAGCTCCATCAAGTCCAGGGGTTCCTGAAGGTGTGGGAGGCGTTGGCACAAGAAGAAATGAGAGACACACTCACAGCAAGGCTGATGGCATGGCTCTGTCTCTGGAGTACCAGGTTGTTTCTTTATATAAGTCACATAATGATTCTTTCTTCTTACTATACCAAGTTTGTTGTTCATTTTTATCTAGTCACAATCTCTTTGATTTTCAAGGACATACTCAGAGCATGGGTTACAATCACAGGTGTGAGATGACAATTTTCAAAGGCATGTTCAGAGCATGGGTTACTAACACAGACAGGTGCGAGATAACAGGCTGCCCACACAAACCAAGGCCTAGAGTGCTATCTAGCTATGCAGACATTGGCTACACAAGCTAGAATATTACCTTCCTAATCAAATCTTTACTAGAAGCCCCAATGTTCAGAGAAGGCCCTTTTTTCAATATATCCCCTCTTTTGCAGTTCTTTCTGTAACACTTTAATTTCTTTTTTGTACTTATCTAAAGGTTCCCTTAGATCTATTCCACAGTTTTGGCATCCTAACCATTGTTGTATTTGTTGCATATATTAACTTAAAGTTTTAATAACATTTATCTTTTTTCTAGTGGGAAGAATATACCAAGGAGCCTGTTACCTTGTAATTCTTTTCCACAAACAGATCAACCTTGCATAAAGCATTAACCCCTTCTCCTACACTAACATTCTGTTTGATTAAAATTCTACAAAGCAATGGACATTTTGGGGATCATGAGACTAAGAGTTCTTCCCTAAAATTAGAAATATAACAATCATTAATGGGACCACCAGGAAGGTCTGGCTTTCTTATGCAGAGTGTAGATCCCAACAAACCTAAAACCACCAAGAGGACCACAGCTGTTGTTCTCATGCCTTTCTGAGACAGACCTTCTGTTATGTCCTTGTCAGCAAGCCAAAGTTGCCTTGGCCTCCCACTCTGTTAGCATTCCTTTGCATGTGTATACCACATTTTCATTATCCATTCTCCAGTTGATGGGCACCTGATTCTACATCATGGTTACTGTGAATAGTACAATGCTACACATGAGTGCACACATCTCTTCAACATACTTTCAACTCAGAGATACACGCCCTGTAGTAGGATAGCTGAGGCATATAGCAGTTCTGTTTCTAGGTTTCTCAGGATTGGCCACATTGTTTTCCAAAACAACGACAGTCATTTCCATTCCTACAAAGAGATCCCCTTTCCCTACACCCTTACCAGCATTTATTACTTTTATCTTTTGATCAAACTGTTCTAACTGGAATAAGATGGTGATTTTGATTTGCAGTTCCCTGATGACTAGTGACATTGTACATTTTTCCATATACTTGTAGGTTGCTGTAAATCCTATTTTGAGAATATCGGTACAGGTTATTTGCCCATTTTATAATCAGATAATTTTTTGTTATTTAGATCCTTGAGTTTCTTCTTCATTATGGATATTCATAAGTATTCATTCTCAAAAACAAAGTTCTCTAAGGTGCACTTCTGTGTTTTTCAGTCATTTTAGAAGAGTCATCTTGGATGCTTCCAGCTCTCTCATTCCCTCTGTTCAGTCAGTTGGGTCTGTGACCTAGACTCTAGATCTTATTACTTTAGGGCCTCTTAGTGGCTCCAGTCTTGAAGAGGTTTTACCTATAGGTTCTGCATTAACATCCCAAGAGGAACTTTCCTAAACCACAAACTTCATTGTATCATTCCCTAGCCCCACAACTTATTGAATCCTTAAAGCACACATAGAGAAATGCAGGCAGCAGAGTGTAGCTTAATGCAGTGCATGTAGAGGGATGCTGGCATCGCAGAGTGCAGCTTAACCCAGTGCACCTCAACACAAGACCCAGGATGAGGGACTTTCTGCAAGGACTTTGGAGGGGTCCATTCACTTCTTCCACCTTGTGAGGACACTTCAAAAAGGAGCCATCTTTTTCCTAATGTTTGGATGTTGAACTCAGTCATACTGGTATATTTAAAGGGATACAATGCTCCCTTTCAACTCTTAGACATATGGTAAATAGCAGGCCTCCAGCCTTCCCTTTCATTATCAATTTTTTGACGAGGGCACCAACATAGAAGCAGAAAGTGAGTCTGAATCAAGTTACTGAGTCTGCTGGTCCTCAATTTTACTCTCCCCAGCCTTGAAAACAGTGTGAAAATTTTCAAATACCCAAGACAAGGTCTTGTTACAATAGCTAAAAAGCACTGAAATCTCTAGGAATGTCTTGCTTTTCTCCCTACAATTTGAAGCACAGCTTTGCGGGCTACAGACTCCTCAGTTTGTGCTTTTTTTTTTTTTTTTTTTGCCTTCTGCACTGTACCACATCAGCCCTCTGCCTTGTGGTCCTCCAGGGATTCCAATGAGCAATTTGCTCATGAACATAGGGGAAATGATGGAAGATACCTCCCTCTCAGCTCTACAGATATGAACAACGCACCTGAGCTGTCACGGGCAACAGAACATTTTGTGGTAGTGTCATGATGCCAGGAAAGTGGTCCCATCATGTTGAGACCTATCACTCAGATGTTAAATTGAAAGGAAAGGCTATTTGGGGTGTAGACTTTAGGAGGCAATTGGAACATTCTACATGTGCTAATTTTGCAAAAAATAAATATCAATTTCTATCACTAACTTAAGCAAAGATCTTTTGGGGGTACTTTCTCTTTAATCAAATGGACAGATACTTCTGGAAACTGCCATGGAGTATCACCAACTGTGATTGGTCTATTTCTTGCTCTGACGTTGGAAGGTGCATTGTGATGTCATTCCAACTGCCTGTTTGAATCCCTGGCTGGGCAGAGGACTTTGTCTGTTTTTTCCAGGAAGCAGTTGAATGCTGGCCAGCGAGACTTGGACAAAGCTATAAGTTTTTCCATATTTTGTTGTTTTTGCTGTTTTATTGTTCTGTCCATTTTGTCCTCTCCCTTCCCCACAATCTTTTACTTCTTATCTGTGCATTTTTATTTTATTTAAATATCTCCTCATTTCTCTTTTGATTTTTCTTGTCATTTCTTCTCTTTATTTTCCATTTTCATTTTCTAATTCTTTAATTCTTGTGTATCTCACCTTCTTTTTCTCATGTGTAATCACTTTCTTTACATAGGAGGTTTAGTATTGTAAGTTTAGCTATAAGAGTTGGTGTTTTCTTTCTGTTACAGTTCTCCGTGTTTCTGTTTTGTCACTTTTGATTATTTTGTGTGAATCACTGATTAGTATAGTGTAATTCATTATAGTGTTTGTTCAAAATATTAGCATAGTGAATAGAATTAATCTTAATAATTAGTGTACTTCATATACTGTTGTTTTTGTTATGCCCAGATAAGTAGATCCCCCAATAAACTATCAACAACCTCATCACACTGAAATCCAAAAGCAAGATTTCTATTAAAAAGGTACAAGCCACGACAGGGACCTCATCCAACCAACCGGCGCAGCAGAGGAAGGAGGAAAGGCCCAGGTCTTTGGGGACGCTTTTAAAGGGGAGATACATCATCAAGGGCTTAAGGTGCGGGGCCTTTTGTGATTGGGCAGGGTGGGGGGTGTGTGTCTCTGTTTGGCTTGGGTTCAGGAAGTTACCTCAGTTGGTAATCTCTACTGAGCTGGCCTTGGTCTGCTGAGCTAGCTGTCCTTGGTAAACTTGGATATCTCCAGAATGCCTGAATGCCTGCTTTTACAAGGACTGCTATGGGAAATGGAGGCTGCTTTTGATTGTTTCAAAATAGAGTCACTTTGGCTCTTCAGATCTGTCTGTTCTTTTTAGTGCTGTTTATTTTGTTCTTTTTGTTTGTTTGTTTTTTGTTTTGTTTTGTTTTGTTTTTCCTCTTATCTTCCCCACAAATTTTTGCTTTTCATCTGTGTGTATTTTATTTAAAAATCGCATTTCTTTTTTGATTTCTCTTGTTGTGTTCATAATATCACATAGTGAATTAGAATTGGTCTTATTGATTAGTACAGTGAAGTTCATATGCAGTTTTTTTGTCTATTTGTTCTTTAAGAGCTTTATTTTTATTTTTAGTTTTCTTCCCCTAACTCAATTTTTTTATCTCTGTGTATTTAATTTAAATATCTTTTCTTTTTCTCTTTTTCTTGTTATAATAGTAAGATGAGTACATTGAATAGAATTAGTATGTAGTATAGTAAATGTAGTGTTACCTGTTAGTTGACTTATTCATTTGTTTCTTTCATTTTATTTATTTATTTATTATGTTTATTTCATTCATTTGTTTTTGTTTTGTCACTTTTATTTTGTTTGAAATAATGATTAGTATAGTGTAATTCACATATAGTGTTTGTTCAAAATATTAGCATAGTGAATAGAATTAATCTTAATAATTAGTGTACTTCATATTGTTTTGTCTGTTCTTTTTAGTGCTGTTTATTTTGTTGGTTTTTTTTTTGTTTTTCTTCTTTTCTCCCCCACAAGTTTTTGCTTTTTATCTGTGTGTATTTTATTTAAAAATCTCATTTCTTTTTGATTTCTCTTGTCATTTCTTCTATTTATTTTCTTTTTTCATTTTCTAATAGTTTAATTCTTGTGTATCTCACCTTTTTCATTTTTTTCTCATCTGTAATTGCTTTACACAGGAGGATTAGTATTGTAAGTTTGTTATAAGAGTTGGTGTTTTACTTTCTGGTATGGTTTTCCATTTTTTTGTTTTGTTGCTTGATTATTTTGTTTTAATTATGATTAGTAGAGTGTAATTCATATGTACTGTTTGTTCAAAATATTAGCATAGTGAACAGAATTAATCTAAATAATTAGTGTAGTTATATACTGCGGTTTTGTCTGTTCTTTTCAGTGCTGTTTATTTTGTTCTTTTTTTTCCCTCTTTTCTCACCCTCAAATTTTTGCTTTTTTATCTGTGTGTATTTTATTTAAAAATCTCATTTCTTTTTTGATTTCTCTTGCTGTATTCAAATATCACATAGTGAATTAGAATTGGTCTTATTGATTAGTACAGTGAAGTTCATATGCAGTTTTTTTGTCTATTTGTTAAGAGCTTTATTTTTTATTTTTTATTCTTAGTTTTTCCCCCAACTCAATTTTTTTCTTTTTATCTCTGTGTATTTAATTTAAATATCTTTTCTTTTTCTCTTTTTCTTGTTATATTAGTAACTTGAGTATAGTGAATAGAATTAGTCTGTAGTATAGTAAATGTAGTGTTACCTGTTAGTAGTATTAACATATTGACTTATTCATTTGTTTCTTTCTCATTGGGTTGCCAGGTCACCGTAGGTGCTGTAGGAGACTAGCTAGTGTTACTCCCAGTACACTAGATATCAAGATATCCCCACAATGAGTGGTGACAGATCCTCCCACACAGAGGAGGAGGTGTTCCAGGGATATGAAGTCCTCAGAACCCTTGGCAAGGGCAGCTTTGGCAAGGTGAAGCTGGCCCGCCATGTGGAGAGTGGGACCATGTTGGCTGTGAAGATCATTGCCAGAGGGCACGGGGATTCCTCTGAGTTCCCACAAGCAAGGGTAGAAGCAGAGATTATGAGTTCTCTGCATCACCCTCACATTGTACAGCTAATGCAGGTAGACTACACGGCAGAGAGAGCCTACCTGTTCATGGAATATATTAGCGTGGGGGACCTTGGAAAGTTAGTGGCAGTGCGCGGCCACCTTGAGGAAGGAGAAGCATGCTACTATTTCAGTCAGACCCTGGAAGCAGTGGAGTACTGCCATAAGCAGCATGTTGTCCACAGAGATATAAAATTAGAAAATCTCCTTGTGGACAGAAACATGTGTATTAAACTAATTGACTTTGGCTTAAGCCAAAAATTGGCTGAAGGCCAACAACTCAATTCATTGTGTGGCAGCCTCGAATACTGTGCCCCGGAAGAATTCTTAGGGAAGGAATTCGATGGCTACAAGGCCGACGTGTGGAGCCTGGGCGTGCTCCTATACACCATGGTGAAAGGGTGGCTGCCCTTTGAAGGGAACAGCTTTGCATACTTGAAGGCAGCCATCCTGGCTGGCTCTTACCTAATCCCCTCCTCTATAAGCAGGGAACTGGAGCAGCTGCTGGACTGGCTGATGACCTGTGACCCTGCTGAGAGGCCCACAGTGGCAGATGCTATGGGCCACAAGTGGCTCAGCATGGAGCAGAAAGGGCCCAAACTGAGTGAAGACACAGCCAAACAGACTCAGAGTTCAACCGAGGACGAGGACCTCAGTGAAAGTGTGGAGAGCCTGAGCTCTCAGGAGGGCCTCCGAGAACAGGACGGCCCCCTGTGGGGAAAAGCCCAGCTACGGGCTCACCTCAGAGGAGGAGGAAGCGAAATTTACATGGGGCTCCCAGGTCCTTCGCATGTTACTGAAGGTCCGAAATACCTCTCAGGCCTCCTCTTCCAGCTGGGCTGTGAGGAGGAGGATGGCTGCTTGTCCCCTGCTCTGAGCTGGGGGAAATCCCAGGAGGGCTTCCGTGGAGCAGCGAGACCTGAGCTCACTGAAGTGGAGCTTCTAGCATCTCCCCAGGATGCTGAGGCCCAAAGCTACCTGGTGGAGCTGGGCTTTCAGCTGAGCCATAAAGCAGCCCCCCTGACACCCGGTCTCCAAGCCAGCGCCACGTCCCCAGTGCTGCCTGAAGGTGACCCATCATCAGGGCTAAATGCCTGCCATGGAGCCCGCAGGATGGACGGTTCCCCACCTGGCATGATGATGATCCACACTCCTCGCCCAGTCCTCAGGTATAACAGCTCCGTGTCCTCTGCGTCCACTCTCAACACCAGCAGCAGTGAGGCCGGCAGGTCAGATGGTCCCCACCCTGTCATAAGGAGGAGGACCTACATTCTTGGGCCAGTTCTCAGCCACAACAGCTCCTTGTCCTCCATAGCCACTATCAGCATCACCAGCAGTGAGGCTGAGAGGACAGATGGCCCCCAACCTGGGATAAGGAGGGAGACCTACATTCCCTGGCCAGGCCTCAGGTACAACAGCCCCGTGTCCTCCATATCCACTCTCAGCTCCAGCAGCAGTGAGGACCACATAGCAGACAGGAGCTGTTCCCAGGGAGTGACAGAGAATGAGAGCCTCCCAGAAAACCAACAGGACGAGGAGGCAGGGACCTCCCCTGCTAAAGCTGCCGAGAGCAAGGGCCGCCGGGGGTCTGCAGGAGGATGGTGAACTGCCTTCTGTGGGTGTGTTGTATCCTGCCAGACCCAGAGGAAGACCTCTGAATTCAGAGGAGAAAGGTGGCCCCATAGCTTCATTCACTGGAAATGCTCAAGAGGAAATTATGATCCCTGCCTGGGAGGAGGGATTGTGGGGAGGCAGTAATAAATAACAGGCAGGGAGTGAAGGCAATGGGTCTCGTAGGAGGAACTAGGATCAGGCGTCAGACCAGACCACACCACCAGGTCCTGTGTCTCATGTGCAAGCAGCTGATCAGGTGAGCATAACCTCACTTCAGTGTCAGGTCAGTGACATTTCTCGGTTGTCACATGGTTCAAGTAGTCAGCAGAATAGCATTTTTATTGGTTAGCATCCATGACCATTTGCTAGGCACCAGAAAAACAGACACCTGACATTGAAACGCTGTAGTGAATGTATCCATTTATAAGGACTTACTATAGAAGCTCCTTTAGAAGAGGCATAACATACTGGGGCAAGTGCCAGCCTCAGGGGCTTTCTCTATCTGGATTCTGAGGACAGCCACACTGTGTGCATTCAGCAGAACTTACAGAACTGCATGCATAAACATCTCCTTGATTCCATAAAAAGTAGAAAAAAGGAACAAAGAGACCAGGCCCTGGGACTTCCAAGAGCTATACAAACCTTGCCTTCCTGTCTATGAGGTGTGTGGTACTGCGCAAGTACCTCATATTCTGAGCCCTGGTCACCACTAAAAAGTTGGGGAGGAGGCTCTGAAAAGTCCTTGTGACACAGTGAGGTCTGGAGTTTCTGGGATGACAAATCCAGCCATGTGCTTGCTCAGGGAAACCCAGGTACGTGTGGCAGATAAGCCTTCCTTCTAGCATGAATGTACTGGACTCTCAGGTTATACTCAAATAGTCTCCCATCCTGTTTTGGGATGTGTGCAGGGGCCACTGGCTGCTTGGGGGATGACTGGCAGCTGCTGGCCCCAGTGGCCCACTTCGGTATGTGATATCTGGGGTCACTATCAAGTCCAGCCTAGTATTGGCAGCTATAGTCAAATTGAGTAACTTTGGTCTGCATTGATAGATATTGGAGTGGGGGATTCTTTTACCTTTTAAATTATGCTAATAATACAAAACACAAATGTTACTATTTTAACCCTTTTAAAGTATACAGTAGTGGGATGAAGAGCATTCACAGGGTTGTGTGCACATCACCACCACACCTCTCCTCCACATGAAACACTCCCCATCCCCCTCCCTAGCCTCTGGCACCCCCAGGTCTACTCCTGTCTCAATGAACGGGACAACTCTGTCTCAAGTATTATGCAGTATTTGCTCTTTGAGAGCCAGAGAGACAGGGCAGAGCTCCCGTCAGCTGGTTCACTCCTTGCAGGCCTGTAATGGCAAGTACTGGACTGGGCTGAAGCCAGGAGCTGGGAACTCAATTCAGGCCTCTCATGTGCATGGAATGAAGCCAATCACATGAGCCATCAGCTGCTTCCTCCCTGTCTGCAACAGCAGAAAGTTGGAGTCAGGAGCCAGAGCTGAGAGTGAAACCCAGTAACTCTGACATGGTACAGCAGGCATCTTAACTGCCTGCCCTTGGTGTTTGTCTTTCTGTGGCTGGCTTGTATTATCCAGTCCTCAGGATTCATGCCTGCAGTAGCAAGTGTCAGAATATCCTTCCTTTGGAAGGCTGAATAATACTCCGTGGTTCAGTTGGACCACATTGTTTTCCCACACTCATTTTCTTTTGATGGCCCCATGGGTTGTTTGCATATAGGGGTAATGTGAATAATGCTACTGTGAACATGGGTACAAATTACTCCTTGAGACCCTGTCTTCAATTCTTCTATTATGTATGTACTTATGTATTTGAAAGACACAGTGACTGAAAGAGAGCTCTGCCTCACTCCCCAGATGGCCACTACAGTGAAGGCAGGCCAGGATAAAGCCAGGAGCCCTGCACTCCATCTAGGTCTCCCACACAGTTGACAGAGGCCCAAGAACTGGAGCCATAATCTGTTGCCTTCCCATGAGTATTAGCAGGAAGCTGAATTGAAAGCAAATTAACCAAGACTGGAACCAGACACTCCAGTATGGGATGTGGACCTCCCAAGTGGCAGTTTCATTGGCTGCACCACAACACCCACCCCTGTTTCCAATTCTTGGAGTCATATACCTAGATAAATATACACCTAGATGTATATATACCTAGATGGCTACTTGACAATTCAATGTTTAAAAATTTGGGTGGCAGTTCTATTTTGTGGTGTAGCAGGTTAAGCCACCACTTGGAACACCCACACTCCATATTGGCAGTCAGTTCATGTTCCAGCTGCTCTACTTCCAATCCAGCTCCCTGCTAATGCTTCTGGGAAAGACATGAAGGTTGGCTCAAGTACTTGGGCCCCTGCCACCTACATGGGAAACCCAGAAGAAGTTCCTGCCTCTGGCCTGGCCCAGCTTGTCTGTTCTGGTCATTTGGGAGGTGAAGCAGTAGATGGAGGAGTCTCTCTCTGTCTCTCTCCTCCCACTCCCTGCCACAGACTTTGCCTTTCAAATCAATAAATTTTTTTGGTTATAAGGAAATAGCTTTATATTTATTTTAATTTTAAAAGATATTTATTAATTTGAAAGGCAAATTTACAGAGGCAGAAGCAGAGAGTGAAAGAGAGAGTGAGAGAGAGAGGGAGGTATCTCTATCTTCTGCTTCACTCCCCAGATGCTCACAACAGCCATGGCTGGGCCAGGCTAAAGCCCAGAACCTGGAGCTCCACCCTGGTCTCCTAAGGGAGTGGAAAGAACTCAAGTATTTGAGCCATCACCTGCTGCCTGCCAAGGTGCACATGAGCAGAAAGATGGAATGGGGACCTTAACTTAGTCTAGAGTCCAGGAAAAGCAAGCTCTTCAGCTGGAGACCAGGACAGAGGGAGGTGCTGCCTCTCCTATTCCCCTCCCCCAGCTGTTTATGCTGCTGGCCACTCCCCACCTATGCCCATGCATGTGTGTTCTTTCACCTTTTTAATAAACTTCATCATTCTGGACAGTGTATATGTGCCTGTACTTGGAATGTCTCCCTAAGCAGAAGGCACAGACCTGGAATACACATTCAGCCACCCCACTTACTTCACTTCTTATGGGTGAGCCATCCAGGTGTCTGAGAAAGCCCAACAGTGAACCAAAAAAGCAACAGTGGTAAGTGGAATTCAATTTGTTTCTGTCTCAGCTGTGCTGAGCTTTTACCTCCTTGTGAAAATTCAAAAGTGTCTCCCTCAGTCTCACTGCTCTTGATCTCAGGCAGATCTGTTAAGATGCAGTTGTGGGGACCTTGTTCCTAAGTTTCAGCTATAGGGGAGGAAAGGCGACAATGAGATGTCTTCGTAAGGAAGATCTGGACAGAGGAATGGGAAGAGAGTTGGACAGTTTGTGGCCTTGTGCCCAAAATCTTTGTTTCTAGATTGTAGTGTGTTTTTTAAATTCATTCTTGCTGCTGAAAAACCTGGAACTTGGAATTTAGTTTCTACTGGATGCAATACACCTGGCTAAAAAGTTCTGTCTTGAGATTTTGAATTGTGGTATTTTCCTTATTAAGATGGGCAGGTGGGCCAAGCACTCACCTTTTGCTAGCAAACTTCTCTTCATCTGACTGGAGTGGTCCTCAAAACAGGTGTGCAGTGTATATGTGCCACACCCCCTGTCAGCAGGTGGTACTTCCTAACATGGCAGGAGTTCCTCATCAGGAGCTGAGGGAGGGACTTTGCCCAACCATGGAAGCCTCAAGTGTGGCTTCAGCTTTTCAGTGGAAGATGGAAATGGACCCCACTTGACCATGGTGGACCCCATAGCTAGTGCAAGCCATGTACCTAGTCAGCAGCACTACAATTTATCTTAGCTTTATGCTGGTTTCTGCTGCCCTGGAATACACACCCAGGTATGGGTTTCAATGCTACCTGAGGTCACAAGCTCTAGATATGCTGGTCCTAGCCCCAGAGAATGTTCAGGACACAGAAGCTTCAGGGCTTACAACCTCTAGCAGCTGGTCTTCAGGCATAGGCTGTGTTATTTTTACAACCCAGGAGCTTTTCCTCCTGGTGTGAGGAGCAGTGCCCCACTAGAGATCATTTCTTGCAGAGATGACATCCCATAAGCTCATGTTGGATGCTGGGAAAATGCCCCAATTATATGTGCATTTGCTCCCAAGTTGTTGGCACCTTTGACAAAAGCAGCAGCACTCTTCAACTGGCCAGATTATGTAAGGCATGTTCATTAAGACATTTTAATAGGGGCATTGGGTAATGAAGATGCCCTTACATATAGATCAACCCACAAGGAGCCCTGGAGGCAGGTTGCTTAAAGCCGAGGACCTCAAATTGGGGTATAAAACCTTTGTAATGTATCCAATACAATTAATACAAGGGATCTGAATCACATATATAAGCATAACAGGGTTTGTGGAGAGCCATATCACTTTTGTGTTGTCAGGTTCTACCAAAACTTCAGCTGTATATGACTCCTCATTCGTCCCTGTGGACTGACTCCTAAGGGTACAGTTTAAAAAACTCTAGAAAATCGAGATACAGAGTGGTTTACTGACAGCAGTAGTTGCACAAAGTATGGAGTTTAAAAGGCAGGTTATGCCATGGTGGGTCTTACTCAGGTGATAGAATCTCAGACATTGCCAACTAGCACTTGATCGCAAAAGGCCAAACTTACTGCTTTAACTAGAACCTTGCAATGGGGAAGAGTTAATGAGTTATTATGTCCAGACTCCAGTTTGTTTTCCTGGAGTTCCATGCACATGGAGCAATTTGGAAAGGAAGAGCCCTCCCAACTTCAAAGAGCTCTCCCACTAAATAAGGAGAAGAGATGTTAGCTCTCCTTCAGGAGCACTGGAGTCTTTAGAAAGTGGTTGTCATTCACTGCAGGGGACACAAGAAGACAGATAGCCATGCTATTCAGGGAAATGTGCTAGCAGATAAGGCAGCAAAAGTCGCTGCTGCAGGGCAGGTTCTAGAAATAGCTTTGCTACCTGAGCTTTTTGGTCACTAAGTATCCTCACTACACAAACCCTGTCATAGAATGTTCTCCTCAACCAGGCAACATGAAGGATGCCAGTGGAGGTGGGCGTTCAGTCATAAGCCCATGTGCTGAATGGGGGGTTATTAATATATGACTCTCCCTATTTGGAAGAGAAGGTTTAATGCCAGGAGTTCCTTGGGTATTTGGAGGGTAAAGGCTGCATACTGTCATAAAGAAAGTACCTCAGCATGTGGTGACTGCTTTAGGTTTTTCTTATCTCCATACCCCTTGGAGACCTTAGTCATCAAAGTCAAAAAGCTAATCATATTCTTAAGAAAGTCCTGGTGAAGCTTTGCCAAGAGACCTCAGAAAGATGGCTTAAATTCTTACCTATTTCCCTCAGGATGAAAGTGGCACCTAAGGCTGCTTTAAAACTGCCTGTCTAAAATGCTATGTAAAAAGGTCTTCTTCACCTCTGATACCCTCTTTCACTCAGGGATACAGATCAGGTAAGAGTTTATTATTAATCTTTTTCCTATACAAGAGGCTAATGGACTGTGGTAATAAAATTCTCACAGTGCCAGGTCCCAAAATCATGAACAGCCTGTCCCCAGGAGACCAAGTCTTAAGAGACATTTGGAGCAAAGACTCTTCCTCTGATCAATTGCAGCCTAGATGAAAGGGATCCTACCAGGTGCTACTCAGCACTCCTACTGAAGTCAAATTCAGGGCATCCCAAGCTGGGTACATTTGTCAAGGATCTCAGTTCTACCTCTTTAGTCTTCACAGGGGCACACAGAGAACAAGTCTGCTCACTCTTGTGAATGCATCCAAGATCTCGAATACATCTTCAAGGGGCAAAAGGGTGAGTAAAACCTTTGCTTTTATCATATTGAACCTGCTACACTTAGTGGCACACATGTTTGCCTATCTTTTATTCTCTCAGGAGGCTGCTGTTGTGAGGAAAACTCCATAGTTCTTGTAGTATGATAGTAGGAGATCCTGCTAGGCCATAGAAAACCATTTAAAAATCTGTTTATTGTGTGGGCCAAACTAGAGCCTACACTTCAGGCCAGATTTTACAGCAATTGCTTGAGTCCGTGGGTGTTCCTAAGTTAGTCATGGACAACTAGCTGGCCATAAAATGCATACTGGCAAAACCAGGAGCGTGTGCAGTGATTAATGGAATCTGCGGCATCTACTCTAACAGTTGTATATTCACTGAAAAGGATACTACCAGTCTTTATGGCTATGCTAGATGGTTTTATAATCTCAGCAAAGACAATCTATCAATGCCCATGTTTTGGGAAA